TACTATCGACCCAAAGGCTATGAAGGACAGGACTGTGTTTTGAAACTTGACAAGTCCATCTATGGGAGGACCGATTCACCTAAATTATTCTATGAGAATCTATGTCGCGGGATTATCCAACTTGGTTTCGAAACCTCGGCGGCAGCCCCATGTTTGTTTATTCATAAGGAGGATCAACTCATGGTATTAAATTATTGTGATGACCAAATCTGGCTCAGTCCAGACAATTGTCTGTTTGAGTCCTATGTTGGGCAGCTCCAGAAACATGGATATGACCTCACCATGGGAGAAAAAGGTGACATCTTTGGATTCCTCGGCATTAATTTTTAAAGACAGGGAGACAATGTTGAGCTTACTCAAAAAAGGCTCATCAATAAAGTCATCGAATATACTGGTATGTCTGACGCTAGCAAGAAGGTTTCTCCTGCCGCCACCGATCCTCTCGTAGCTGACAAACTGGGGGCCCCATTTGAAGAAGAGTGGAGCTATCCAGCTGCAGTTGGGATGCTTCCTTATATTGCGTCAAACACACGCCCAGACATCACATTTAGTGTGCACCAGGAAGCACGATTCAGTCACAAACCCAGGCATTACCATGCTCAAGCAATTAACCGTATCATTCGGTATCTGATTGGCACAAGTGACTAAGGCATTTGTTTTAGCCCTAAACTTCATCAGGGACTTGACTGTTGGGTCGATGCTCACTTCGCCGGATTGTATGGATTTGAGGATGAACAGGAAGATCCTGTGTCCGTCAAGGTCTCGCACTGGATTTGTTCTGACTCTGTTTGGGTGCCCTATTATCTGGTTCAGCAAGCTTACAGATTGATATTACTTTGAGCTCCACTGCTGCTGAGTACGTTGCCTTCAGCATGTCAATGAGGGAGCTGCTTCCTATGCAAGCTTTGCTCAAGGAAAATGGTAGCAAACTGAATATGCCGGTGATTACTGACAGTCTCGTGAGATCTACAGTATTCGAAGACAACCAATGTTGCCTGTCTTGTGAATGTTCACAAAATGTCTGCGCGCACAAAGTATTTGGCATTGAAGTACCACTTCTTCAGCTCCAATATCGGGGAGTCGAAGTGTATCGTGGCTAAGTATATTTCGACACTGGAACAACGGGCCGACCTCTTCACTAAGGGTCTTCAGGATCCACAGTTTGCTGCTCATTCGGAAGTGCTCCTCATGGATAGGTAATCTCTGTCCATCACGCACATCTTGTAACCCTCACTTCTCCTAGTCGTTCTCCATAATCGCTCCAGCAATTCACTTTCGAGCATGTGAAGCGGTGACCGCGCCGGCATACCAAGCTTTACCAATACATTCCAGGCTTTAAAGCTTTACAATTTTAGCAGGCTTATTCTAGATTAATAATCAATAACTGCTCACTTATTTGGAAATACAAACTTTACATCTCTTAGATCCCTAGATTAATCAATGCACAATGGTATTGTCGCACAGATCATCAACTATGTTTCTGACTTACATACTCCACATGATGATGCTCCTCATCAGCTCCTCAATGCCACTCGAACAAGATCGACCTTAAGGCAACAGCACCTATCCAAGACCATATTTGGCAAGATCGACCATGAATTACTAAGCCCGCAACCCAGTCAAAACCAGCCATTGAACTGCTGATCGCAAAGACTTCAGGTTGTCTCTTTCTCAGCTCACAATTCTTCCTTCAGCCAACGCGGCAAGCACAACTAGTAGGCTAGAATAGATTAACATCTTGCGCCGGCATCAGGTCTCGAATCTCTTCGATCATCGACCATGGCCAGCACTCTCCTTTCTCATTTCCTCCAGACGCGACCGGACCATTGGACAAACTTTGACATGAACTACACCACCCTCACCACACGCCTTGGAGCAGCCGCAGGATCCAACCGAACAAACTCCGCTATCCTCCTCCACTATCCTCCTCCGCAATATGAGTCAACGCTCTCCTATGATGATCGCCTTTGTGATGGAAGGTGATCATGAGTATATCTACATCAGCCAATGTTCTCTCTACCACTACGCCGCCAACATTGAAGAAGCCACAGGCTATGACAACAACTACTGCATCCTCATTGGAGACAACCTCAATTCCACGACTGCTGCCGTCCTTCCTGTCGATGCCTTTGCATTGATCGCCGAAGTCAGTTGCAACAACATAACTGTTGTCATTGATGGCGTCACCATGCTGGGAGCTGATTCCATTCGCAACCACATTGGACCATGCGCACAACGCCGATGGTTCCACTCCTGACACAGACATGATCCGCGTCCGTCATGCCATGCCTCTTCCATTCTACATCAAGCACACCGCCTTGACGACGTCTCCCTCTGGGCGCTATGTACACACTGACTCAATTCCAGAACCACATCCTCGGACCTAAACTCGCCCATGGTGAAATGGCGTGTCGAAATGCCATTGCCCCTCTCACGTACTGGTTCCGAGCCTCGTACACTGATATTGCTGCCGGACACATTTTGGGTGTAACATACTCTTTAACTTAACAAGTCAAGGCCATGGAGTGGCTGTATGGATGCGGGCACAAATGGGGAAAAGCCCCACTCAGCTGAATCATCCTTCTACTTTTCTAACTAGTCAGCATGATTCCACCCACTGGTGCCATACGATGCTAGCACCAAGTAGAATAGATTGCCCAGGGCTAGAGTGGGATTGTCATATTAAACAAGAACCTGCAGTGCAAACCTGGGTGGTTACAGGGGCTATATACAGTATTTTTGCCACCAGTACCAGTGGAACCTTAGCATGTGGAGCATCAGAGTGCTCGCCGGTAAGTGTGTCTGTGTAACAAGGTCTCCCAAGCTGTGGCCAATGCCTTGGCGTACAAGACACGATGCCAGCAGAGCCCGTAGGAGGTGGAACTCCTTAGGCCAGACCAGGTCATGGTGTAACCCATCCAGTGGACAAAAAGTGTTAGGCAGAAACCAACAAGCATCCAGAAGATGGGGTCAAGTGACACACTGGCAGTCTGTGGCTCCCAGGAGGGAGGTACTGTGGCTGCTGTAGTGTTGTGGGCTGTTCGAGTGGTTGTTGAGTCAATGGAAGGAGGATGGGGGGCACTGGAAGGGAAATGGTACCAGGAGCAGGAGGGGAGGTCCTGTTGGTGTTGGAGTGTTGTTGAAGAAGTTGGGAGGAGGTGGTTGATGGTGTGTTGTAGGATAGAGGTATGTCTGTGTTCAAGGGTAAGGACAAAGGCATCATCAATAATGGGGTATGGTGTGATTCGGAAGGGTGTGATCCTCAAGATGGCTGCATGCTCTAGGAGCTGTTGTCTGATCATCTGGGGATTGGTGTTGGTTAATCTGCGGAGGATGATGGATGTGGTTGGTTGGGTGAAGTGTGGGAGTGGGGGGATGTCTGGAAGGACCTTGGGTTTGAGTGAAGGTTTGTTGACATGGGGAAGTCATGGTGGGTGATAGGTAGGTTGGTGGACGAGGTGTGTATCCTTGAGTGTTGACTGAAGTGTCGTTGCTTCAACTCAAGCAATGGAGGTTGCTTGCGAGGTGGCGAGAGTATTGTTGTAAAGGGTTTATTCAAGGAGTCAATGCACTGAGGCACTGGTAATCAAGTTGTATATCAAAGTTGTTGGGTGGTTGTTGCCACTGGATCAAAGGGTGTGTCCCAATCTAGTGCAGGTACCACAACCTGCAGGAAGAGAGGGTTTCAAAGCCAAGGCTATAGGGGATTCTCAACAGAGGATCTGGAGAAGTCACTCTATAGCCAGTAGAGTCAGTGGGTATCAGTGGGTATCAATGTGTGTTGTTGGTTGATGGGGCTGTGTTACTGGGTGACACTGTGTTGTCTCAAAGGCTGGTACTCAATCTGTTGTAGGGACAAAGTGCAACAGAGAGTCAAGCCAAGATGTGGAGAGGGTACTCAATTCAGGTGGAGACAACGGACTCTGGGGGGAGCTCGATCCATACCTGAACTACCGCAGCATATGGTTGACCGTGGACATTAGTACCGCATATCTTGTACCACGGTGCCCTTGATCTCTTCCACTAGTCTTGCTCCTTTGCTCCTCCCTGCCCTCCTTTACCACCCTCTCCTTGGTTTGCTTCAATGTTCCCCTGCTTGCGCACTCGATTCGATTGCTTGGCTCGCGTTCCTGCATCCTGCCCTCCCCTCTCTGCACCCCCTCCTCATCATAGTTCCCTCTAATCCATAGTAACTTTCCCGATGTTAGTATATCTTGACTAGAGCCCTCCAGTTCCAGATGAATTGGTTGTCCGATCAAGAACTCACGAGGAGAGAAGAAACAACATCTGGATCCGATGCATCGAACAGGGGCATCTGTTGGGGTGAACTGTTTCGCTTTTGGCTCGACCTCATCCACGCTGTCGGTATCATATCCACGCGGGCTGATCCAAGGGGGCCGTCGGCGACAAAGCTCTCAGCACCAACATTTCTGCTTCGTCCCGCGAATGACATCTTCTCAGTGGCTGCTGAGTTGAAAATGGCAATCAAAGTCTAGAACCTAGCTAGCTTCGTGCTCGTAGTCTAGCATACAAGATCAAGTACTAGTATACGGAGAGAAACTTCTATGTCCTTCGTGGATGGATGGATACCACGAGTGCACCCACGAAACGAAACAGGCCCAAGGATGCCCCTCTCGTGCCCGGTCGGGGGTTAGAGCAGAAGCGTTGAAAAGTTCACAGAAGGCGCCATCATTTGTTGCCTGAGATGGACTAGCCCATTACAGTAGCTGAAAACGTCATCAGAGTCTTCCATCTCTGGCGGGGTGAAAGAAGGTCCGGCAGGTCCAGGCGACCTCGTCTAACAAGCTAGAGTTAGAGCCACTAGCTAGCAGCTCAATTGGACTTGTTGCATGAGGACGGAAGGGGATTCGTTTTCTCTACCGTACGGGCGGAACACCAACCCAAAGCTGGCTGACTGGAAAACCACTTAGCTAAGTATGGTTGCGTAGGTACATTGAAAGCAAAGCTAAGGTTGAACCGAGGATAGAGCAAACAGATTTCGGATGTAATAACGTGCAAATTATAATAAAATAGTATCAGTTACGTTCTGCTTTGTAGGCTCTCCGTTTCTTGTTGTGTTTGAGTGTTTTATTTATTTTTTGTTCAAAATATCGGTAATGGAAACACTGCCCCAGTCTCCTTTGGTTTCGGCCAATGGTCGACTGGGGGGAGGATTGTCAATCTGTCGCAATTTGGTCTTGTTGGAAACTCGTTTGGTCCTGCTTCCTCGATGCGGCGATTTTCCCGGCGACTTGGTGGCAGCCGTGGCAATGTCATGCGGTGATTTTTTCAAATTTTCCAAACAGCTAAATGCCATGTCGCGATCGTCGTCGTCTCCGGCATATGCCTCGAGCATGTCAATAATCGATTGAGGATCCATTTCTCGCATCGCTCCGGCCATGACACCCGCCGCCAGTGCCGAAGATTGTCGTCGTTCGGCCGTTTTGGCTTGTTGGAAGGCTTGAATGTCCGTAGGACGGCGTTCCTTCTTTCTCTTGATATGAGGCGTCGCGTCCGTCTTGGTGCGACGCAACTCGTGGCTCTTGGTACGAGTTGGTTTGGCCCCCTTGGGGACAGCGGGTGAGATGGGAGAGGTCGTGTCGACTGTCTTGGTACGGCGCAGTCTGTTGATGGCAGGAGGAGCGTCCCCTTGGGTAATGGTGTCGGTCTTGGTGCGGCGAAGGCGGTTCATCTTTGCTTGGTTGCTTTGCTTTGCTTTGCTTTAGTTAGTAGATCTGCAAGGAACGAAAAAAGAAGAGAGCAAAAGAGATTGGTTGCCTTGGCTTGTTGGATTGTGAGAAAAAGTTGGTTGTTCGGGTTTTGAGCATGCTCCTCCCTGGATTTTCCGAGAGGCTGAAGTTGGAGGTCGACGTCAAGCGACAGGGAATTGCACAGATAAGAAGGTGCATGTCTTTTAATCGGAAAATAGCCGAAATAGTCATCATGGTCAGGCGCCAAGACTGACTTTGCTTTCTTCAAGACCACTCTGGAACTCACTCGGAAGGAATTCAGTACCTTTTTGTATAGTAAGATGTTTCAGTAGTAAAAGCCGCTTGAATAGTTGGTCACTACTTTCTGTGGGAGAGTCGTGTCAGTGACTACTAGACTAAATGAATTAGGTGCGGCTGTTGCAAAAGAAATACAAGTCAGTTCATTGTAACTCTAGTTGAACTTGATTGATTACAATGATACATCATCTAGTGCCCTCCTGAGTGACATCTTCAATCAAAAGAAATAACAGACCAATGTCCGTTGATAAAATTATTCTTTTTCACCTTGTCCAAGCAGCTTTTCTATTCCCTCCTTTCAAGCTGCGGAAGCTGCGAAATGATCTCATCTCTGAAGTAAACCGTCAGAGTGGCTGAAGTTACTAGTCGCACCTCTGCAGTTATCTTCCGACAAAGCAGGTCTCACTGGATATCAAAACCGAACGCCCAGGCCCGCGTGCAAGCTACAGTACCCGATCCAAGCCACGTATCATAGCTTCCGCTTAGCCGGCATCGCAACAAGTCATCAACAGTGATCATCCATTCATTGCTTGGACTGCATTCGGTACTTTGTGCCATGGCTGCATGGGAGATAAGAGCTCTAGTACAGTAGCTGGAGGAACAAATTCTAGGTAGCCTCAGACTAGCTACCCAGCCAGCAATGACTAGCTAGCTGACAGGCCGCCAAACAAAGGCTTCACTTCGAGTGAAGCGTGCTCGGGATGTTGGGCAACAAGGCCTGCTTGACTCTCGTCGCTGTGGAATACGTGTATGACGACTCGACTCGGAGATCCCCACCAGTCACAGGAAATTTCCACTTGTGCATTGTGGTGGTTCTTGTGCAGCTGCAGTGCAAGGAGCACTTTCTTCCTCTACTATAGTGCCTCCTTACTCCGTTGCAGTAGCTAATCTATGTTCTAGCTAGCGGCAAAGACAAAACATGTCTACGGCGGCAAATAGTCATTGGAAGTGGTGCACCTCTCCTTGGTACATACCGTACTCTACCGGTATGGTACCGGTCTATAGAGCAAGGCAACTGAAAGCCATTAGTGTTGTACTGCTGTCACAGTCCAAGTTGACAAAGCTCCCAATTCAAATTCCTTTCAAAATGTTTTGAGGCATGCCGAGGTCAGTGCTCTCCAGAGTCCACTCAATGCCTATTTTGTGTACCGGTAATAGCTAAGCTAGCAGATACAAAGTTTTGAAGATTAGATTTTGATTAATAGTATGTACAAGAAGAAGATTAAAATTAGCTTGGGGATCGCTTTTCAGTTACAGGGGAATGGGTTCAAAGTCTTCCTCCATCGCGATGGAAGGAGCCAACGGGAGAGGCTCAAATGGGTTGCCAGCAATGTTGGCAGGCATGAATTGGGACAACAGAATGTCAAGTGTATCTTTGGAAACATCACCATTGTCGCTGTCAGTTGGAGAGACACATCGAGTAAAAGGTTCGGGAGTGGCGTGGATGGTGATCATGCTGGGAATTCCAGAACCCATCATGAGAGATTGGCTCAAACTCTTTTGGGAATTCAGTTCCTGTTGGACTTGCGAGATGCGCTGCATTCGTCGCTTGCTCTTGAATTGCTTGCTGCTTCGGTAAGAGGTGTGGAGATAGTTTCGGAGGGCTTGAGCAGCGGTTTGTCGAGCGAGAGCTTCTTCGACCAAAGTCCATTCTCCAGTGGTGAGGTCCTTGCGGACAAATCCAGCATCGGGGGCGGCTTCGTGGATATCATTGATGAGCTTGGTAAGAATGAGTCCCTTCTCAGCCTTGCTGGGGGTAGAGGAATACTCACCAGCAATCTCAGAAATCATCTTGTCGAACTTGACATTGCCGGGGTGTTGCTTGATGATTCTTCCGCGGCCGATGATGATGTGCTGCGAAGCGGGGACAAAGTTGGCAGGCATGACGGTGGCAGTAGATTTGAGCATCATGGTTATACAGAGTTAGTTGTTGTAGCGTCGAAAAGTATTTTCTTTGCGTTGGTTGTGCTTTGCTTTGCGAGTTGCTTTTGCAGAAAATTGTGAGGAAAGATGGAGAGGTTTTCAGAGGAGGCGATCGAACTGCCCGAGTGCGACTGGGTTGGAGGCCAGGTAGGGCCAGTACCGACTGTTTATCGCTCACTCCGGGTAACAAACCCAGCGATGACGATGTGCGAACGATGATTCGAACACTGTGTCTTTGTTGTGCTTCAGAGTTTGACAGATTGAGATTGGTACAGAACCATGTATAGTATTTGACTCGAAGATTAACAAACGGAACCAATTCTGTGAGTTCCTCCGTCGAACTGATTTCTCTTTTCACCCTGATTGCGTTTTTGGCGACGCTCACAGTTTTTTCTTTCTAGTTTGTCTATTTTACTTGCCTCTGGTACTAATGGTACTGCCATCATTGAAACATCCGAAAGTGCATGCAGAGTACTCAGAGATTCGCTGGGTCGAGTACCGCAACGTCTCAACCCGCCCAGCGTTGTCAACCAGGGAATTGCCGTGGCGTTGCTAGCCACTGCAGCCACAAGCCAGCCACATCAGACGAATACCAGTGTGCACTGTGAGCTCCAGTGAATGGTTCATACCGGTACGAAGGAACCCAGGACACATTCGCTGTTCTGAGGGCTTTGTTCTGAGCTCCCCGAAACATACAAGAATCAATATCAAACCCAATCTAGTCAGAAGCCTTCTCTCCCCCTTTTGCTCTGCATTTTGATTTGACCGAGCCAGGTCCGAGCCGACATTGGCTACTGCTACGTACCTGGTAGCTGGTTACCGGTAGACAGTGTCAGTGTTAGTGATGCATTATGCATTATTTTGTCTGGGTCGAGACTGGAAACACTGGCTCGTGTTGGGTTGTAAGAGAGAAGAGCAAACCCCGATTGAGCCAAAAGCAAACCAATGTTTGTCCTGGTTTTCTTTGATACCTACCTGGTACCAGGCAGCGATGGGGCCGCTCACAGCAGCCAGTCACCCCTGATGCAGGAGAAACGTGGGATGATGCATCTGGTATACGGGCAATGGTCTACATCGCTCGAGTCTGGCATTATCCTCCGCTTCGTCCTCGCCTATTATTGCTCTCTCCTGTTGGCGTAATGGGAGCACAAAACAGAGTCTAGGCAGCCAGCGGGCGGTTTCCTGAAAGACGAATTAGTAGGCTCTCCTTCGAAACTGGTTTTCACTACTATGCAAATCTTGAGGCGATACTGTATCAATAAACAAAATTGAGGCAGCTGCTCAACACTCAACGGTTCGTCGACCTGTACTTCCAGAGGGACACCACCTTTGATGGGCAACATTGTCCGAGCATCGAGCATTTGGCATTTTTCATTCGCGGGAGAATGTTTCCGCACTGCTGCTGTCAGTAGTTTCAGCTAGACTGGCTGAGATTAGTTTCAACTCTTTCCAGTTTCGGGCAAGGAACAGTATCAGGAGTAGAAGTAAGACTTTGACATCAACATCAAACTCGCCACCCTTGAAGCACGTGGTATCAGGCAGGGCGGGAAGAGAGTTGATTCGTCTTGACTGCCCCTTTCTGTCATCAGCGTTCTCCTCAGAATAGATAGATCTCCGTATCTGGGACAATTTTGGTACAACCTTCGATATCTTGAAGGATACTGGAAGAGGAAGCTTGCCATGGGATCAACCCAAAATGATGAAGTAGAAAAATTGCTTGTTCGTTGCAGTCTTCAGAATCTTTTCGATAGCACCAGAAAGAAATCACCACGCCGCTTGGCAAGCAAGTGCTTCTCAAATCAAAGGGGGCTATGTGAGGGTTGACCTGTCTCACCACAAAGAACCCGCAATCACATTTCTGCCAAGGCTGCCTCCGGAGGAATATCATGCTTGACAGATCCACCAACAAAACACAGTGGATTCTTCATCAATGTTTGTTTCAACGCTTCCATCACGGCGTTTGACCTGCATGGGCGTGGAGGAAGAAGTCCGGGGCAACACAATGAGCAAAGGACTGCAGAAGCCACAGTGACGTCTGGTTCTGTGAGATGGTTGAGTAAGACTGGCTTGGACTTTTCTGTTGTGCTAGTGACACATACATTGAAAGCCCTTCCACTGCGCTCTAGCAAAGGTGTTCTGCTCTTGGGTGAACCACGGATTGCTCTTTTCTCAGTCAGATGTATATCCGTTTTGACCAAGTTAAAATAGCCCTCTCCATGCCACTCTGGGAAACTGATGTACATGTACTATTCTGAGGACAAAATACTGTACCGGTACACATATACTTCCTCAGCTCTCATCTCGTCTCGGATTTTATCATCAGCCATCGCCAACCACGGAGTTGGCTGGGTTAGAATTTTGTTGTGGTCGTCCCTTTTTTTGGTCCTTTTTGTAGGGTTAGGGTTAGCCGAGTTTGCCTTATTCATAATGTTCGGTTGTGCATGTATTCGGCTTTTTTTCAGCGTTCGTCTCCTGTTTCCTCAGTTTGCTCGCTACTTGGATCCATACTAGTATGCAATCCAGCCATTGCAGCCAGCTACGGTACCGTAGGCAGAGAGTTACATCGATCCGTGACAGTGGCAACAGTACCGAACACACTCAGGTTCCGCTTTACTGGCTACACTCCGTTACCGGTACCTTTCATTGGATCCTTATGACGAATACATGCACAACTGAACATTGTCAATCCAGCCATCGTAGCCAGCTACCGTAGAGTTCATCGATCAGTGACAGTGGCAACAGTACCGAACACACTCAGGTTCGACTTTGCTCGCTGCACTCGGTTACCTCGCATTGGATCCTTATGACGAATACATGCACAACCGAACATTATGAATTCAGCCATTGTAGCCGGCTGCGGTATAGCTACATCGCCGACAGTGGCAACAGTACCGAAAGTTCGGCTTTGCTCGCTACGGTTACCGGTACCTCACATTGGATCCTTATGATGAATACATGCACAACCGAATATTGTCAATCCAGCCATTGTAGCCAGTTACCGTAGAGTTACATCAATCGGTGACAGTGGCAACAGTACCGAACACACTCAGGTTCGGCTTTGCTCGCTACGCTCCATTGCCTCACCATTACAATGAATACAGGAATATTGTCAATCCAGGCTCCACCAAGTCCTCAACGACCGACTTGTGCATACAGGAAAATGGGTACCGACACATGAATCACCACCAAAACACTAGGAAATATCACTGAAGGGACAAATCCAGCAGTAGGATCCACTCTCCTCTGTGCGTACGAGTGTTGTCGTGTAGCCTCCTCTTGTAGCCATTCAATGACTCAACGACAATCTTCTCCGTGCGTTCATGCTGTTGATAGGGCTGGAGTTAACAGTCTTCTCCGTAGCGGTAGCTTGTTAACCGATCGTTCGAAAAGGACTCGACAATGGGATTTCATCGGCCGTCAGCAGTACAGCAGAGAAAACAACAAATAGATATGAGTTTTGTTTTCTGTGCTCAACTGCAGACGACCGGAGACTTACTCTTGCTTTTCAAATTGCACCAACTTGGTCGTCATGGGCCGAGAATTGACTGCCATCCCATGGTCCATAGGATTCAATGAGGGATAGTTTTCGAATCTGCACCAGAGAAGGACGGCTTGAGTGAGGCTTGGATAATAGAGATAAAAATGATAACAGAGGTGCGATCGATCGATTCGAATAATTAAAACAACTCACCTGTTGACGGCCGAGCTCGGAATTCTCTCCTGTTTACCATAGGAATTGAATGAGGGAGAGAAGTCAGCGCTGTACCTTCAATTAACACTCTTGATAATAGGCTTACCTCATTGCGATCCATTCGATTGATCGTTCCAAAACCATTCTTGTTGGCCATGCTTGAATTTCTCTCCTGTTTGCCATAGCAATGCTTCTATAGATAATTACCCTACTCTAAATCCCCCTTTAATTTTTGGGAGAGAAGTCAGTGCTGCACCTTCAACAATGGATTTGGCTGGACCTGTACCTGGTACCGGTACTAGTAGTACGTGCGCATGCAATTGAATTAGTTTAACCTTAACCTTAGAACCTTCAACGGTTCTTTTTATCCACGAATCGATCTAAATGTGTACAGACGTTAAAAACGTTAAGTACAGGTTTGGTACTTACGGATACACATGACCGTTGATTCTGCAACTGAAGTGCCGCTACTCTATTTTACACAGTAAACGCCGGCAAATCGATTTTGGAGTGCAACTGAGGGGGTAACCAAAAGGTGCGTCGTCTCAGGAGACGTAATTCGTCATAAGGATCCAATGCAAGATTCGGCTTTTTTTCAGCGTTCGTCTCCAGTTTCCTCAGTTTGCTTGCTACTTGGATCCTTATGACGAATATATCTACATCGACGACAGTGGCAACAGTACTGAAAGTTCAGCTTTGCTCGCTACGGTTACCGGTACCTCGCATTGGATCCTTATGACGAATACATGCACAACCGAATATTCTCAATCCAGAAAGTGTAGCCAGTTACTGTAAAGTTACATCGATCCGTGACAGTGGCAACAGTACCGAACACACAGATTCCGCTTTACTGGCTACACTCCGTTACCGGTACCTTGCATTGGATCCTTATGACGAATACATGCACAACCGAACATTGTCAATCCAGCCATCATAGCCAGCTATCGTTGAGTTCATCGATCGGTGACAGTGGCAACAGTACCGAACACACGCAGGTTCGACTTTGCTCGATGCACTCGGTTACCTCGCATTGGATCCTTATGACGAATACACGCACAACGGAATATTGTCAATCCAGCCATTGTAGTTAGCTGCCGTATAGCTAGTGGCAACAGTACTTGATTTGCGCATACATGCAGGAAAATGGGTACCGACACAGGAATCACCACCAAAACAGTAGGAAATAACAAGAAGGGATGAATCCGGTAGGAGGATCCACTCTCTTGTGTGTTGTCGAGTAGCTAGCCTTGCTCCTGTTCCCTTCCAATGAGTCGACGACGATCCGTTCATGCTGTTGATAGGGCTGGAGTTTACAGTTTCCTCCGTACACATACCTCCGTAGCGGTAGCCTCTTCTTCCTCGTGTTATTCAGAGCGATCAAACGTTCGTTGGACCGCGACAATGGTAATTCATCGGCCGTCAGCAGTACAGCAGAGAAAACAACAAATAGATATGAGTTTTGTTTTCTGTGCTCAACTGCAGACGACCGGAGACTTACCATTGTTTTTCAAATTGCACCAACTTGGCCGTCATGAGCCGAGAACTGACTGCCATCCCACGGTCCATAGGATTCAATGAGGGATGGCTTTCCAATCTGCACCGGAGAAGGATGGCTTGAGTGAGGCTTGGATAACAGAGGTGCGACCGATTCTATTCGAATAATTAAAACAACTCACCTGTTGACGGCCGAGCTTGGAATTCTCTCCTGTTTACCATAGAAATCCAATGAGGGAGAGAAGTCAGCGCTGTACCTTCAATTAACACTCTTGATAATAGGCTTACCTCATATCGATCGATTGATTGATCGATCGGCCGATTGGATAGTAAAGAACTCCTCCTACCGGTATACGTATACCACTCTTGTCGGCCAAGCTTGGATTTACCTCCTGTTTACCATACGAATTCAATGAGGGAGAGAAGTCAGTGCTGCGCCTTCAATAATGGACTTTCGCTCGACTGAGGGCATCGGTGATCAATCAGTTTTTCTTTAACCTTAGTAACTTCAACGGTTCTTTTATCCACGAATCAATCTAAAAATTTCCAAAGGGAACTTGTTACTTAACAATACACATGACCGTTGATTCTGCAACTGAAGTGCGGGTACACTAATTTACACAGTAAACGCGAGCCAATCGATTTCAGAGTGCAACTGAGGGGGTAACCTAAAGGAGCGTCGTCTCAGGAGACATAATACCGGCAACGGAGTGTAGCCAGCAAAGCAGAACCTGAGTGTGTTCGGTACTGTTGACACTGTCACCGATGTAACTGTACGGTAGCTAGCTACAATGGCTGGATTAACAATATTTGGTTTTGAGCATGTATTCGTCATTAGGATCCAATGCAAGGTAACCGAGTGTATCGAGCAAAGCCGAACCTGAGTGTGTTCGGTACTGTTGCCACTGTCACCGATCGATGAACTCTACGGTAGCTAGTTACGATAGCTGGATTGACAATGTTGCTAGTACTGTACGGTAGCTAGTATACGATGGCTGGATTAACAATGTTTTTGTGCATGTATTGTCATAAGGATCCAATGCAAGGTACCAGTAATGGAGTGTTAGCAAGTATAGCAGAACCTAAGTGTGGTGTTCGGTACTGTTGCCACTGTCGCCGATGAAACTTACGGAGGGTACAATGGCTGGATTACAATTTCGGTTTTGTGCATGTATTGTCATAAGGATCAATGCAAGGTACGGTAGCTAGCGAGCAAAGCCAACTTTGCTACTGTTGCCACTGCATATACGGAGCTGGCTACAATGGCTGGATTGAAATATTCGGTTGTGCGTTTATTTGTCATAAGGATCAAATGGAGGTAACCGAGTGCAACAGTGCAGCGAGCAAAGTCGAACCTGAGTGTGTTCGGTACTGTTGCCACTGTCACTGATCGATGAACTCTACGGTAGCTGGCTACGATGGCTCGATTGACAATGTTCGGTTGTGCATGTATTCATCATAAGGATCCAATGCAAGGTACATGTAACGGAGTGTAGCCAGTAAAGCAGAACCTGGGTGTGTTCGGTACTGTTGCCACTGTCACAGATCGATGTAACTCTCTGCCTACGGTACCGTAGCTGGCTACAATGGCTGGATTGCATGTAACTGAGGAAACAGGAGACGAACGCTGAAAAAAAGCCGAATTTTGTTGTGGTCGTCCCTCTTTTTTTGGTCCTTTTTGTAGGGTTAGGGTTAGCTGAGTTTGCCTTATGCACCGTACCGGTAATAACTGTGCGAGCACCGGTATGGTACGGTATGGTTAAAACTTGGGTTATTTAGATTATACCATTACGCGGTACCGGCCGGATGTAACCAAACTCCACTCCTCAATATAAAGGGGGGTTTAGGTAGATTAGACCATTACGTGGTACCGGCCAGATGTAACCAAACTCCACTCCTCAATATAAACGGGGGTTTAGGTAGATTAGACCATTACGTGGTGCCGGCCAGATGTAACCAAACTCCACTCCTCAATATAAACGGGGGTTTAGGTAGATTAGACCATTACGTGGTACCGGCCAGATGTAACCAAACTCCACACCTCAATATAAAAGGGGGGTTAGGTAGATTAAATGTAACCAAACTCCACTCCTCAATAATATAAAAAGGGGTTTATGTAGATTAGACCATTAGCTACACAGCAGCTATCTAAAGCACGTATACATTCTGGGAGCCCATGGCAGTAAATATTAGCTATTTGCCAATCAAGTGACAGCCCTTTTTGCTATTTCTATTTCCGTGGTTGGCGCAACCGGAGGCATCTTGTTTGGCGAGTTTGGTCAGTGAGGAGGTCCATTTGGACAATTTAAAAAGCGAATTGGTAAAACATGAAAATGTCCCTCATTTTTTCTAAAGTCGCCGTTTTTGGCATGAGAATCCATGACCGAAGACCGGCGACCCCAGCAAAAGCAACTACCCATTGCACCCAACCATTCCAACCGATACCGGTAGACCTGATCCTTTGCTGTGCTTCATCAGGACATCGATCCAGGTTGGACAAGGCGGAGCAGTTACCATTTGCTAGCTAGAGCCAGAGGACTCCTTATCAGACGTTTTCTTGGGATTTGTTGTTGCCAGTCTGTTGAGTGCCGGATCTTTCGATCTTTCGCAAGGTTCATCGCTCCAAATTCCAAGCTAGCAGGCCTCCACTCTTACTGATCCGATCATCCAATACGGTACACACCCCGGTCACTCAGGAGTGCAAGACTAGCTAGCCCGTACGGTAGAAATCAGCAGAAGAATAGATAGAACACCACAAGCATAATCATGCCGAAAGTTCCGAAAGTGCCATCCGTGCCGATCCCGGACATGGACATTCCGTTTGTCCCAAAGTCCAACAAGACATCCTATTCCATGGAGGCGTCGGAGATCAACAATTCGACCGACATTTACGGCAACGACGAAGAAGCTGGGAACAAACGCGCCAAGAGTGAAGCTCCTCACGATCGAACGTGGGAAGAAAAGGAAAAGGAAGAGTCTTTTGAACTCGAAGAAGATCTCTACAGTCTCCTCTACTTGGCCCGTACTTGCTCCATGACAACCTTTGTCACGGTGGGCGTCTTTTTGCTGCAAATGTTCATTTTGGGACTCATTTTTGCCGATCTGACGGCGGAAGCACCCGTGCACAAAGAAGTGGTATTTTTCCCATTGGAAGTGCCCGTGGATATCCCGACCACCGTGGCAGTGGCGCAGTTTGTGTCTCTCTTGGTAGCTACCATCAAAGAGGAAGATATTTTTGTGTCACTCAAGGTAAGTACGAGGTCTTATGTTTGGGAAAGGACTGCCGTGCTAGCGCCGCTAACAACCACTTTCTCTACTAGGCTCTGATTGTGGTGGGCCATGATGAAAGAGTCAGTGTCAGATTCCCAGGAGCTACGCCCCTCAAATGGTGGATTGCCAACACGTTGAGATTTCTTACTGGTAAGTTCGTGAAGAAAATTCCACTTGCTTTTAGACAACGTTTCGCCTTGTTTACGGCAAACTTTTCTTTGTCTTTCACAGAGAGGAACCTTTTCGAGCGGTATTCTTCCGTGTTCTTTCCGACACCCAAACCAGCCCAGCCCAATTCACAGACATCTCTTCCTTGTGTGGCATTGCCCAATCCCAGAATTGTGTAGACCCATGTAGATTGTTCTTCGCAATAGTAGAAAATCGAATAGGCCGAATCGTTCCTGTAATTCGCATCTCGCTCCACGTAGATTGGTCTTCCACCGTGCCGCTCGAGCTTGCCATCGCGTTGGACTATCTCATAGCTACCACTAAAAAAGGCATACTCCAGAGTTGCTGTTCTGTCATAGGATGACAAGTCTCTCGCGGTTGTACCATTCAGTGCAAATTGTGTTGATCTCTTCAATTTCAGTTCGTCATCACCAAACCGCACAACCAGCCGCGGGCTTACTGCCTGCTTGAGGTAGAATCCTTGGGATTGGGCCAGTCTCACCTTTGTCCAGCACGCAAGTAGTGGGATGAGTGTCAAGCAGAAAAACACAAAGACAAGTAGAGCCCAATAACGACCTTTCTCTCGTCGATTTTCCAATTGTACGGATTCGACTTTGATGGTCATTCGTTGCAAATTTTTCTAGGTATCCCCTGTTGGTCGAGTGACGAGTCGAGGACGACAAGATGGCAATGGTTTAGGACTTGCCACCCCAAACCAGGTCAAAACAAAAACAAAAACACCCATCGCAGCGTACCATTTCGCGAGCCGAAATATCATGTTATCAATGTAGGACACAAACTCCACGGCTGAGGCATAGAGAAAGACAACGAGAGAAAACGATCAGGGACTGTGGCACATCTAGCTAGCAGAAAGGTTCCACAATGTATGTACAGTACGTACAGTCTACAGTACAGACAAGTACGTCCAGCAAACGATCAAAGATTTCCAGGACAGTGGAGGAACCAACAA